TATATATATATATATATATATATATATATATATAATTGAACTGAATTTATGTATCTATTGTTAGGAATACATTTTCATTTTGTTAAAGCAGAAGTCCTTGGCTAAAAGTTTGGTTTCAGACTTCAGTACTTTTCATACAGTAAACTAATGTATGCTTCGGAGAATTAAGCAACATAGAAATGTATTTCTTCAACCAAATTTTCAGACTCACCCAAGTGATGAGATGGGCAGCATATAAATTAAATAACTAAATACATAAAAGTATTTTTGACCCAGTATCTTATTTAGCCAATTTTAGTTTCTTTATCTTCCAGTATATCAAAATACATATCTGTAACATGTTAAAATAACATATTTTGTTCATTTCAGATCGTGAATGGTTATTTTGTCCATTATTTTGCACCCAGTGATATGCCAGTATTTCCCAAAAATATCATCTTTGTTATAGATAAAAGTGGATCTATGAGTGGCAATAAAATTCGCCAGGTAATTTCTTTCAAAACAGAGCCTTTTCTTGAGTCTACTGATAGTTTTTGTTGCATGCCAAGTTTAGTTCCCATGAAAATTATTTTGTTTCAGCAAGCAGCCACAGAAATTTTCAGCCTCCTCTCTCTTTTATAGCCGTGAATCAAGAAAGAACAATGATGTGCTACAGTCAGAATAAACAGGACTTCTTTCCATCCCTCTATTGTTTACATTTATTTCCTTGTTGGCTTTGTATATATTATTACTTTTAAGTGAATTATTATTACCAAGGTAGACACGTTAGGTTGTTCTTTCTATGTACCAGTCATTTTGGGTCAGTCATTTTCTCTTAACTAACCTGCCTCACAGTGCAGTTCTCATAAAATGACTTGAGATTGAGGAGGAAAAGTATAATATAGATCTAGGAAACAAATAAATGAGCAACTGGCTAATGCTTTAAAATGAGCTGTGGAATAATTACCCTTTAAAGTTGGTTAAATATTCCATCTTATTTGGAAACCATTAACAACTGCTTTATTTTATCAAAGGCAAGCATTGTAATTATGAAATATATCCTCCTGTGTTTTCTAATTTATATTAAAGGGAAAATGAAGGTGCTGTACACAGGTTAAAGGTTATATATATTTTCACTCCTTCTAATAGCTATCAAAATGAGAGCTTTAGGTTACAGAATTTAACCATGTTTTATTTTAATCTTTGTTATAGACTAAAGAAGCCTTGGAAAAGATTTTGGAAGATCTTAATCCCAAAGACCATTTTAATTTAATTGTCTTCAGTAGAGGAACTTCAAAGTGGAAGCCCACTTTGGTGCAAGCCAGCAAGGAGAATGTGGAATCAGCTAAACAGTATGTTAAAACCATTGATGCGCAAGGAGGTCAGTATGAGGACTAAAAGTCATCTTTGTCCATCTTTGTTTATCTTTGCAATAGTGGTTTAATCAGGAATTCCCTGGAACTGATATGATAAATTCCTTGTATGTCCAGTCACACTTGGCTAATAAGGAATTCTATTCTATTCTATTCTATTCTATGCTATGCTATGCTATGCTATGCTATATCCAAACCTTATTGATTCTAGTTTCTCATATCCTTACTTGACTTTTTTTGTTAAAAACATTAAATAATTATTTCTTCCTTCTTATATTCAATATAGTTCAAGTTATGTTAGATTACATTTATAACAATGAGGGCTGTTGTTTTGGGAAAAACTGGAGACAGGAGTATTAGGTATATTAGGAACCCGGATAGCACAGTGGTTAGAATGCACTATTACAGACTAACTCTGCCCACAGTCTGGAGTTCGATATTTCTAAGGTTGATAAAATGAGGAGTCAGATTGTTGGGACCAATATATGCTGGCCTTG